GCCGCCTGGGCCGGAGGAGGCGGGCCGCGCCGCACCTAAGGCCATTCCTGGGCGCTGTGGCCGAGTCGAGGCTCCTGCGAGAGAAGTCGAGGTTCTGTTTGCTGCTTGTGTCCCCTTCGGGGCGGCCTGTCTGGATTCCGGTCCCCGCTTCTGCAGGAAGCGCTCCGGAAGGGTCGGGGTGGGATCCAGGAAGCCATTGGGAAGGGCCTGGGATGGGGCACTGGACGATGTTCTCTGTCCCCAGCAGATGTCCAGTGCCCAACGCGGGGCTGGATGGCAGGGCTCCCACTTTTACCAGAAGATGCCTGGTTCCCACGTGGGACACTCGGGAAAGTGACCAGCCTTTGACTCTGCTATGGGTCACGGAGTCAGGACTGGGACCCTGGGGTCTCCACGTAGATGTCTCTTGGTCCCTGAGTGTGGGTGAAGGAGAGGGGATGGCGTCCTGGGGTCATGGCCTGCCCTACTCTGGGCTCCCATGGCATCTGCTGAGGAAGGCGGGAGGAGCCCAAGGGGACACAGCAGGTGTGGGTCTTGTCTGCGGAAGCTGATTGTGAGCACCAGGGGAGGCCTGCCCAGGACGTAGGGTGGCATCGTGGCTCTAAGAAGGCCACTAGGCTGGTGGATGGTGGATGGTGGTAGCAAATGTAGGAAGTGAGGCTTTGAGGAAAGGGAGTCGGCAGAGTCTGGGGTGTAGTTTGGGGACTATTTACTCACTGTGTGAATGGTTGGCAATGAACGTGCCTTAAGATGAAAATGAGGTTCAAGGGTTGGGTTGTGGATTTAAACCAATGCAGACATCTGGGTGCATCTAAGACATTACAGCCTCATTTCTGTGGGCACAGGTCTTGCTCTCTGCCCTTCCCCAGTTGTGGGCACCTTAGACACTGGGGTGCTGTGAGTGTGGGGTTTGCCTTTGGAGACCTCTGGCAGTTGTGTGTGAGGATACAGGAGGTGGGGTGGTGTGAAGAATTGAGGGGGACTGGGACCTGCCCAGGGCCTGAAGAGAGTCCCAGGCTGGGGACAGCCTGGCCTGGGGCGGGGGGCGTCGCAGACGCTCCTCTGTCTTTGTCCTTTGTGTGCTCCTCTGTGCTGTGTGCTCCTCTGACTTTGTCCTTTGGGCTTCAACTTTTTGGAACTGAAGGACTCCAGGGTATGAGGGATAGCCTGCTCCTAAGGGTGGATCTGGGACCGGGATGGCTCCAGGGGTGGCTGCCCTGTCACACCTGTCCCTCTTCTTTAGGTGTGTCGGCCCAGTCCTTTCTCCACTGCTTCACACTGGCCGGTGCTGCCTTCAACTTGCAGGTGGTCACCCCTGGGGTAAGTGCAGCCCTACCCCCAGTGAATGCTTGGGTGCCCACCTCTTCGGGGTTGACGCTAGGAGGGGACCATCGCTCCCTGGAAGGAGCAGAGAACCCTCTGTGGCCCTGACAGCTGGCTTGGAATAAGTGTTCTGCATCCAGACCCAGGGACACCCTGAAGTCCTGGTCTCTGTTCCTGCAGTCTGGCCTGACTGGTGCAAGGGAGGCCTTTTTACTATGATCTGTACTTTTGTACAGCTTTAAATGGAAAGTGGGATTTAGTCTAGTGGGAGTAATTGACATTTCTAGTGGAAGGGATTCTGCATCCTTTGGGATAGACACTTGCAGCAAGGAGGTAGTGTGTGTTTGTGACTTTGCCCATTTGGTTTGGTTTGTTTGATTATTTTGGAGGTATGGGTTGAACCCAGGGCCTTACACATGCTAGGCTAGGGCTGTGCTGCCAATCCTAATCCCTGGCCCATTTTGCACCTTTTATTGTTTGTTTGCTTTTGGTACTGGGGATTGAACTCGGAACCTTCCTCTTATAAGGCAGGCACCAGAACCATTGAGCTAAATCCCTAGCCATTTTGCAGCGTTTAGAGTCCTCTCTAGGAGGTTTAAGTGGGGAAATGGGATAAGATAAAAAATAGTCAGGGCTGGGGATTTAGCTCAGTGGTTCGGTGGCCTGCCTTGCAAGCGCAAGGACCCAAGTTCAATCCCCAGTACCAAAAAAACAAAACAAAACAAAAAATAAAATAGCCAGGCATGGTGATGCATGCCTGTAATTGCAGCACTTGGGAGGCTGAGGCAGGAGGATCACTTCAAGTTTGATACCAGCCTTGGCTACATAGTGAGTTCCAGGGGCAATCTGAACCACATAGTGAGACCCTGTCTCAAAAAAAAAAAAAAAAAAAAAAGCCTGTGATCTGGCACCTGCCTTGCAAGCTCAAGGTCCCAAGTTCAATCCCTGGTACCAAAAACAAACAAATGAACATGGGTATGCATATGTCACTGCGATGTGATTTTTTTTTTTTTTTTTTTTTTTTTTTTTTTCTGGTACTGGGGATCAAACTTGGGACCTTCAACTTTCAACGTAGACAGTGGAACTACTGAACTAACCCTCAGCCCTGCTGTGATATTTAAATAAATAAATAAAATAAAAAATTTAAAAAGTTAAAGTCCTTTCCAAGGTGGATAGGACAGTACCTGCTGCTTTTATAAGTCTGGACCCACAGCAGTGACCTCAGTTCTCAACCTTGGCCTCTGGGCTCTGCCGTACAGGGGAAGGCCATGGACTTTGTGGATGTGACTGAGAGCAATGCACGCTGGATTCAAGACTTCCGCCTCAAGGCCTACGCTAGCCCTGCCAAGTTGGAGTCTATCGATGGTGAGCCAGGGTGCATTCCTACTGGGCACATGTTCCTCTCTGGGATGGGATGCTTAAAACCTTGGAGTGTGAGGGCTACAGAAGGGTTTGGGTTCTCAGTGCACGTCCCTATTCTGCCTCTGCAGCTACACTGGGGCTTGCTGTGAAGCTGTGACTGTGGGCAGCCTCGGTTCATACCCTAAACTCTGAAGTTCTGTATTCCTCTCGGGGAGGAATAGGTCAGCTGTCCCATGGGCTCTATGGGGTTCAGGACGGTGACACATGATGCCTTCTGGCCGGTTGCTGTGGGAGGTCTGCCCTGGCTGTACCCTTGAGACTGACAAGTGGCTTCTGGGCCTGTGGTCTCCTCAGGTGCCCGCTACCACGCCCTCCTGATCCCCAGCTGTCCTGGTGCCCTGGTTGACCTGGCCAACAGTGGGTCCCTGGCCCGCATCCTGCAGCACTTCCAGTCTGAGAGCAGTAGGTCACGAGAACTGGGGGGTAGGCTGTCAATGTGGGGGTGGGGGTGGGTGGCTGGTTCAGGTTCAGAGCTGGGCACATCTGTCATTTTGCCAGCCATTTGGACTTGCATAGAGTGCCACATGACCCTGCCTGGCTAGTGGACAAGTTTGTGTGCCACTAACACACAAAGGTGTGACCCCTAAAGGTGCTTTATGCTCCTCCGGACCTGGCTCCTGTGGGCATTGGTGGCTGTGCCCTTCTGGGCCCCTGTATGAATAGGTTGCTGGCTGGGTTCCAGGTAGGTACACACTATGTCCATTTTGATGAGCAGGATGCTTGTTAGGAACCCGTACACAGACAGGCCGGGCTGTCATGCAGCACCCTTTGTTGGAGAGAACAGTCTCTCTTGGCCTGGACAGGCAGCCACCTAGCTGTGGGAATTCGTGCATGCCAGGTAGCCTTTGAAGAGGTGCTAGTGACCCTGCTGCGAGGTTGGGGCACTGCCTGGGTTGCTTTTCCTACCTGCACAGCTGCCTCCTCTCTGCACCAGGATGGTCCGCAGATAGAGGCAGCACCAGGTGCCTGTCGTGCATGTGCATTTCAGCCCCAAGCCTGGAGTGACCTGGGCCCTAAGCAAACCCTGGCACTGAAGCCCACCTGGGGAAGTGTCAGGGCATAGTTGTGTACACCCAGGTTGGTGACCTGGGTCTCAGACTGCTTCACTGCTTTCAGAGCCTATCTGTGCTATTGGCCATGGTGTCGCCGCTCTGTGCTGTGCCACCAGCGAGGATAGGTCCTGGATGTTCCACAGCTATAGCCTGACAGGGGTGAGTGTCTTTCACATGGGCTAGCATCCTCAGTTAGATTCTCCCAGCACTGTGACCCTGCTGTCCCCTGAATGGACATGTGTTCAGTGTGACAGCTGACAAGCACACACAAGCAAAGTCATCCACTGAAATTCTCACCCTGGGTCACCAGCCTGCCTGTCACCCAGGTGCCCTGATGTTGGGGGACCCAGGCCCTCTGTCCACAGTGGCATCAGGGCCACCCATGGGGTAGAACGGCAGGCTTTGCCTTGTCCCTGGCCTCCTGCTCCAGAATCCCCCTCCATCCTGTCCCTCTCCTCATCTACACATTTTGGATGAGGTTCCTGCTTTGTTGTCCCCTATGTGTCCCTCAGGGCTAGCCTTAGGGACAAGGGAGGGCCCTGGCAGGGGCAGAGCTGCCAGGGCCATTGTCTGGCTCAGGCCCACGTCTCCACAGCCCTCTGTATACGAGCTCATCAGGGCCCCTGGCTTCGCCCAGCTGCCACTGGTCGTGGAGGACTTCGTGAAGGACTCAGGTGCTGGCTTCAGTGGTAAGCCTGGCATGCCCTTAAATGCCCAGGTCTGGGTGTGACCTCAGGGAAGCTGGCTATACCTGTGGCCATGGCTCAGGCCAGGCAGGTCAACCCACTCAGATTTTTGGGCCCTCAAGGGGTGGGAGTGGGTCTGGGGGCATCAGTGTCTGAGCCCTGTACCTTCTGCCCACCTAGCCAGCAAGCCTGATGCTGTGCACGTTGTGCTGGACCGCCACCTGGTCACCGGGCAGAATGCCAACTCCACTGTTGCTGCTGTGCAGAACCTGCTGTTCCTCTGTGGCAGTCGGTGAGGTTCGGGAAGGCCTGGGCTGGACTGGTCCCATGACCACTTCTGTGTGCGAGTGCTGAGCCTTGACCACATACATGTCTGTCCCACAGGAAATAAGTCTGCCAGCAGACGCTGTCCCCATGATGTGGCCCAGGTGTCCTCAGAGGCAGCTGGACTCCCTCTGGCTCCAAGGACCCCACTGTTCCCCACCTGATGAAGGGCCCTCAAGGGGGTCATGTCCTGGACTTGCCTCCGAGAATTGGCCTGCGAGCTGTCAGCCCTCTGCAGAGGCTACACCTCCCTGGCCTGTTGGTCCCCAATATGGTCTCCTCAGGTGACACAGGGATGGCCCGAGTGCTGAAAACCGAGTTTTGCATTTCTGGAGAATTGGTTGGTGTGTGGAGCAGAATTGGCTATGGGCTTCCTAGGATGGCCCCACCCTTTAGCCATTGCCCTGTGGGAGGCTCAGGGCATTTTCCCCTGGCCAAGGTGAACAGGGTTTGTTCATGCCACAGCCTCACATACTTGCTGAAGGAGGAGGGTCCCTTGCTGAGGCTGGGATGGTGCTGCGGTCCTCAGTGGACACAGTATGTCACCGAGGACCACGTGGCATGAAGAGGACCACACGGTGATACTCTTCAGAGCCATTCCTATGATGGCCAGAGCCAGACTCCAACTGCAGATGCAGCCGTGGGTGGCTTGGGCTCTGCTGAGACGGGGAGGCTGTGAGGCCTGGCTCCCCAGGCCCTGCAAAGGCCTTGGCTGGGACTGCGGCTGCAGCGGCCGCCCTCCTAGAAGCAGTGCATGTGCTTTCCGTCCTGCTGGGCACCCAGCCTGACCCCAATGAGCAGCCTGCTGGCTAAGTCAGGCTCCTCCCCTGCAGCTCAGCCTAGTGGGGCTGTCCCTTTCCTTCTGATCGGGTCCTCCTCTCAGTGTGACTGGCCTCCTATGGTACCCTGGCTGTCCCCAAGCACCAGGATGGCTTCTCATGACAGAAGTGTGGGTGGGAGGCCCCTTGGTTCTACAGCTTCAGTGAGGAATTCAGTACACAGTGTAGGCAGATAGCAAGGCAGCCCCACCCCAGGGCTACTCCCTTCACCCCGCAGTGTCCGTGGCTACTTCTGTCCAGAGCGAGCTCGCAGAGGCTGCTGTAGGCCTTGTGCTCCCCAATCCACTCCTAATGTCGTGTATGTCTTGATGGAACTTTTCAGAACCAAGTCATGCTCTGTCTTAGTCCATTCAGGCAGTTGTAACAAAGCACAGACTAGGTGGTTTGTTTGGTTGTTTGTTTTTTTGAGACAGGGTCTCACTATGTAGTTAAGACTGACCTGGAACTCACTGTGTAGTCCAGGCTGGTCTCGAACTCACAGCGATCCTCCTGCCTCAGTCTCCCAAGTGCTGGGATTACAGGCGTGTGCCACCATGCCCGGGAGACTGGGTGGTTCATAAAGAAAATAAGTACATTTTCTGTGGCTCTGAAGGCTGAGTCTGAGGGTCAGGGGTGGCAGATCTATCTGGTGAGGGCCTCCTGGCTGCTCTTCATGGTAGCAGGGTTGGGAAATTGCTGGGGCCTCTCCTATAAAGGCCCTAATCCCACTCATGGTTAGGGGTCCCACCCTCCTGACCAAAGGCCCTACCTGCTGCTGTTGTCCTGTATTTCTGCGGGACACAGATGCTAAGACTGTGGCGGGGAACTCAGTATGACATCCGCTGAGCACCTCTGTTTAGGCTACTTGAGCCCCACCTTCTGACCCAGGCCTAGGGGTGGAGATAAGGTAGGCTAGGGGATCAGCAGGAGAGAAAAGGGACAGAACGTCCAGGAACATAGCAGCAGCCAAGTGGGTGGGCTTCAATGCCTAGGTTGTTTATAACTGGAGCCTACATCACCATAAAAATGATAACGTGTGGGCCACGGATTTAGCTCAGTGGCACCGTGCCTGCCTCACAAGCCCAAGGTCCTGAGTTCAATCCCCAGTACAAAAAAAATAGGTATGTGTATTGCTCATAGCAGGATCACAAGGGACAAATTGACTTCCTTTATGATAGATATCATGGTATCCTTAATACTGTTAGTGTCTAAACAGGAAGTTGATGCATAATTACCAGGTGGACCTTAGTGCTTTGTTTTGGTTTTTTTGTTTGTTTGTTTTGGTGGGTTTTTTTTTTTTTTTTGAGACAGGGCCTCACTATGTAGTTGAGACTGACCTGGAACTCACTATGTAGTCCAGGCTGGTCTCAAACTCACAGTGATCCTCCTGCCTCAGCCTCTCGAGTGCTAGGATTACAGGCGTGCACCACCATGCCTGGCTCTTAGTGCTTTGAAAGAAGCATCATGAAGAGCCTTCTGTGATTCTCTTTATACAAAATATCCAGGAAGCAATTCACAGGACAAAGTAGGTCACTGCTGGTTGTGGTGATGGGAGTGAGGATTGGCACCAAGGCTGTACGAGTGGGTGAACTCGAATTTGTGGATTATACCCATCAGGCATGTGCATGACCTGGCCTTGTCCCTGCTGCTGGTCTCCCTGGAGATACTGTTTTCTTACTGCTCTGCCTCAAGGATGCCTCCTACGATACCCTGGTTGACCACAGGTTAACACAAACAAGGCCCAGCTCCTGAGGACAGAGCAGCTTGTGGGTAGGTTGGACAGGGCTCTCCCCTGTTCCTAACCCCATGGAGTGGCAACTGAGGCCCAGGCCCTCCTTGACTGCAACCCCCATGCCGTTCTCACAGCCTGGCCTGGATCCAACACCCTTGCCTCAGTATTGCCAGGAGCCAAGGGGTCCCAGAGGGCCATCCAGTACCCCATGAGGCAGGTTCTGGGCCTCCCTGAGTGATTTCAAAGCTGGCACCACTGCTCCCCACAGGAATCTGGCCATCTGGCCTCAGCTAAGGACAAGAGCCTGGCCTGGACACTGAGGAGGCCAAACACTTGCACCCTCAGGGCCTGACACAGCCCTGATACTTGGCTGTGGAGCTAGCCCCACCAGGGTAGCTTTGACTACTAGCACACGGTACAGGCCCAGGGGACACCAGGCACAGAGAAGGGCCAGGCCAGGGCCCCACCTTCCAAGTCAAGTCCTGGGGCTTAGTGGAGGCACTTCCCTAGCTTGCTGAGACACCAGCTCAAGGCCTCCCACCACCTGGGATCTGTTCCCAGGACAGCCCAACTGAGACAAGGGTGACAGCTGCCAGGGTCACCCTGACTGGGGACCTCAGGGCTCTTAGCCCCAACTCCACCTCCCAGCCTTGCCTAGATCACAGCCAATACTGGGAACAGTTGGGACAAAGGTGACTGAGCAAAATGAAACTCGGCACAGGAAAAGCAACTGCTTTAATGCATTAGGCAAAGTTTTTACATAAAACTAGAAACCTACGATTCCATCCCTGTCCTGATTGCTAAAAAAAATGCAAGATTCCACGCAGCCTTGCACAGTGAGACCCCAAGTCACGGGCAGTGCGGGTCTGGTGTCCATTCACTCCGATGCATGCTACTTCCCGTTCTCCGCACTGAACATTTGTTCCTGGAAAGGAGCGTGGAGTCAGCCATGCCTGGCCCTCACCAGCCCTCCAAGGCTGTGGTGTGTGTGGGCTGGGCCAGTCTCAGCAAGCCATCTGCTGTGTTGGTACACACAGCAAGTTCCCCCCTCTGCCCAGTGGCTCAGGGGCCAGTTGTGTGCCCAAGACCACCAGCAAGGAACTCACTGTCAGCATCCGCTCCAACTTCACAGCATCTGCAGCAAACTTCCGAATCCCCTCAGACAGCTTCTCCACAGCCATCTGGTCCTCGTTGTGCAGCCAACGGAAAGACTTCTCATCCAGGTGTATCTTCTCCAAGTCACTGGCCTGGGCTGCAAAGACACCATACCCTGTGCCTGCGCTGGCCCAAGAGGCCTAGCATCACCCATCAACTCCTATTCCCCATGAGGCGTCCCTGGAGAAGGGGACTTGGCTAATGTACAGGAAGATCCCCCACCCTTCCCATGTCCTGAGCTGCACCCACTAATGGGACCCACAGCCTCAAAGTGCAGAGCAGTGGCCATACTGGGCTCGGGACTTACCCGCCTTGGCTGAGAGCATGGGCGTAAGCTTGCTGCTGTCTTTGAGCAGCTCGCCCAGGAGCTTGGGTGAGATAGTGAGGAAGTCACAGCCCGCCAGTGCTTTGATCTCACCCGTGTTGCGGAAAGAGGCACCCATAACGATGGTCTTGTAACCAAACTTCTTGTAGTAGTTGTAGATTTTGGTGACACTCTTGACCCCTGCAGGAGACCTTGCCATGTCACAGGCGGCCCTGAACCCCACTCCAACCTGCATGCCCAGCCCTCGTGACCTTAGAGGGCAGCTCACCAGGGTCTTCCAGGGGCTCATAGGATTTCTTGTCTGTGTTTGCCACATGCCAGTCCAGGATGCGCCCCACAAAGGGGGAGATGAGTGTCACACCCGCCTCGGCACAGGCCACAGCCTGAGCGAAGGAGAAGAGCAGCGTCATGTTGCAGTGGATGCCATGCTGCTCCTCTAGCTCCCTGTGGGGATGGGGAGGTGAGTGCAGGGCTGAGGCACATTGGGTTATGGTGACCATGAAGCTCACCATCACCCACACCACAACAGGGCCACAGGCAGGACAGGTGCTGAGGGCCTCTGTGCCTGTCCCCGTCCCAGGGACCCCAGTCCCCACCACAAAGAGCCCACAGGCTAGGCTTCCAGGCTGGGGTAATCATGCCATCTCTGACCAGTGTGGACCTTCCTTTTCTGGACCCCAGCCCAGCACCCATCCAGTTCACCAAGGAAGTCTTGGGGTGGATTCCCTGGCAGGGCTTTGCCTGCTGTGCCATGTAACCACATGGGGAGTCCAAGGGAGCCTGTCAATCTGAGGCCCTCCTCAAACCATGTGACCAGTAACAGCACTTGAAGAATGTGCCCATGAGAAATACATGTCCACACCAGTACACATCCAGATCCATAGCACTTGAGGCCTCTAGCTGACCGTTCATTGGTGACTTGTGGGTGAGACACCTCAGAGCAGTTTCCCTTGGATACTAACCTTCCCTGACTTCCACTTTGAGCACGTTTGTGTAACCATGGTTTGCTTTCTGTACATGTGCAAACTACAGACATGAGGCTTCCCGACCAGTGTGAAGGCGCACTGCTGGGTAAGCCCAGCGAGCTCAGCACCCAGCCCAGCCCAACCCAGAACCACACCCCAACAGCTCCCGAGGGCAGGAGCATTTACCTTCCAGCCTGGATTCCCTCCCAGGTGGATGACAACTTGATGAGAATTCTGTCCTTGCTGATTCCAGCCTCCTTGTACAGTTCGATGAGTCGCCTGGCTCGGACTACCATGGCATCCTTGTCAAAGGAGAGCCTGATAAAGCAAGGGGACCACATGCCCTCAGGTCATCAGCTAGGAGCAGGGTGGCTGGAGCCCTGCAAAGAGCCCTCAGCAGCCGGTTATCTCATGAGAAGGCTTAGCAGGGAGCTCCCTGCCACCATGATGGCCACAGGGGGACCCTAAGGAACAAGCCTCGTCCTCCCAACTGTCCCTGCCCCCAGGGACAGAAATGGGATGGAGATGACTCAACACCACCCTCTCCCACCTCACCCCCCGCCAAGCATCCCTACCTTGCATCTACTTCAGTGGATACACGGCCTGGAATCTTCTTCAGAATTTCTGCTCCAAACAACACGAAAAGTTTATCTATAGCATTTTTAATTTGGTCCTCTTGTGACCTGAAATCCAGAGGAAAAAAATTAGGTTAGGAGCCTGTGAGATTACACAGGAGCTGAGGAAACGGTGGGATTCCTTTGCCAAATTTCCCTCTATATGTTTTTTTGTTTTTTTTGTTTTTTTTTTTTAATTTTTTTTGGCATCAGGGATTGCAAGGCAGGCAGTGGAACCACTGAGCTAAATTCCTAGCCCCTGTTTTTTTAATCCTAAAAACTCTTTCGGGGCATGGTAGCACAGGCTTGTAAGTAATCCCAGTACTCTAGGAGACTGAAGCAGGAGGATTCCAAGTTTAGACCCTGTCTCAAGATTAAAAAGAATTATTTTAGGGCCAGGGATTTAGCTTGGTGGCACTGCACCTGCCTCGCAAGCTCAAGGTCCCGAGTTGGATCCCCTGTACCAAAGGGGGGAAAATTTCTTTTAAATGCCTGGGGATGTAGCTCAGTGTAGAGGCTTTGGATTCAATCCCCAGTACCAGTAAAAAACAGACAAAACTATTATCCATCGTGTGAACTGCACCTCAATGAGACCTGACTTTTAGAGGGATCTTTTCACCCTCTCCTGGGTTGCACAGGCAGACAAAGGATGCAGGGCAGGTGCTGCTCCAGAGGGAAGAGTCAGGATCCTCATCAGCCCACTGCCTGAGACAATATTTCTCCAGTGTCCCATGCTACACACTGGGGCTAGTGGATGTAAGAGAACCACCCGAGGACCTCCCAAAGCAGTTTCAGGGTCCTAGGAATAGAGCGGGGGAGGGAAAGAGACCCAGTGTGCACAGCAGCTATCACATGGTCTGGGAGCCACACCACCTGCTGGGCCAGGCACTGCCCTGAGCCTTGTGTTGCCACTTGCAAGGGAAACACAAGCCTACAGAAATTGAGGCTAGGTCTGTGGCTGCCTGGGTACAAGAGTGAAAAGGGGCACTGGGCACTGGGGACAGCTCTCCAGGTACATGTTCTAGCACACACAGCAGCAGCAGTGCCACACAAATTTGCTGCTAAAATAATAACCACCAAAAGGTAAAGCAGTGTTCAGGAACCACGGAGTCGGACCAGAGGTGGAGGGAGTCTGGGTGCCACCAGTGTTCCCTGCCACACTGGGTGCTGGGTACCAATGAGAAAGCTGGAGATTTAGCTCAGTTGTGCTGCCACCTGCTTTGCAAGTGCAAGGTCCTGAGTTCAATCCCCAGTACCAAAAGCCAAAAAAAAAAAGAAAAAGCCAATGAGAGCCAGGCATAGTAGCCTGTAATTCCAGTCACTTAGGCGGCTTATAAGCTGGAGGCCAGCCTGGGTAAGTTAGCAAGATCTTGTCTCAAATAAAATAAAATGGGGTTGGGCACTCTAGTGTGGGGGGCAGACCTAAAATCCCCGCACTCAGGAGGCTGAGTTCAAAGTCAGCTTGGAATACATAGCAAAACCTTATCTCAAAAAAATCAAAAATGTGCTAAGAAGTAGCTCAGTAGTACAGCAGCCTGGCTTTAACCCTAGTACCACAAACAAAAAGGACAATATTGGATAGGGAAGGCCATAGGCTAAGGAGACCAGGGGCGCTTGCTGGCCCCAGCCACACTCACCCGCCTAGCTTCTTGCCATAGGCGATAGCCTCCTCCATCAGCCCTTGGTAGGCAGGCATCTGGGCCGCAGCCAGGATCAGGGATGGGTTGGTGGTGGCATCCTGGGGCTTGTACTCCTCGATGGCTAGGGAGACAGTGGTTGAAAGCAGGAACATAAGTGGGGCATTTGCTTCCACCTAAACCCAGAGGGCCCCTGCAGACCAGAGCAGGGCACAAAGACACTGCCCCAAACACTCCCCAGGGACAAGGCTGCAACATTAGAACTAGAGCCCTGAGCACTGAGCCCCACACTCCACCAGTCAAAGGGAGGCAAGAGGGAGCCAAATGAGAAACGTGTCCTGTGGTTCCATGGCCAGTAGGTGGCATGCTGTCCCCCAACCAGTGACAACAGTAGACACAGGTGGTGGTGGCAACAAATACTGTACTTTTTTTCAGTAAGAATTGAACCCAGAGATTTCACACTTAGCTATACCCACAGCTCTTTGTATTTTTCTGAGACAGGGTCTCACCAAATTGCTAAATTACCCAGGTTACACTCCAATTTAGGATCTTCCAGCCTCAGCCTCTCAGAAAACTGGGATTATAAGGCTATACTGTTTCTTTTAACACATTAGTCCTTTGTCTGGAATCCAAGATAGCAATGGGTTTAATTGACCCACCATTCCAATGGAGTATGTGTGGTAGGAGCAGATAAATTGCCAGTCTTGCCAGGACACAAATTTATTCTTGACAGATTAGTCTTTTTTTTTTGGTACTGGGGATCAAACTTAGTAACCTGCACTTGCCAGGCAGGTGCCCCCACCACTGAGCTAAATCCCCAGCCCTCTTTTTAAAATGGTACTAAAGATTGAACCTGGGGCCTTCCCACTGAGCTTCATCTCCAGTCCCTTTTTTATTCTTTATTTTGAGACAGTCTTGCTAAGTCACTAAGTTGTCCATACTGAGTTCCTCAGGATCTTCCTGCCTCAGACTCCCAGAGTGGTGAATCCCACCACAGGCATGTCCACCACCACCCTCAACTCAAAAGATTAGTATTTTCAAAGTATTCTTAAATGACAAAACTATGGTGACAGAGAACAGATTTCTGCTTATCATGGGACCAGCTAGGACAGCCTCAGGAGCACAGGAGATCTCTGTGATTAGCACAGCTCTATGTCCTGACTGGTGCAGTCATACAAATCTGGGTTAGAAACAGCTGCAGATGCACCCCAAGTGCAGACTGGAAGTGGGGCATTAAGCCAGGTCTGTGTGTGGCACAGTGCATGCCAGTGCTGGCTTCCTGATTTGGCCATCACGGGAAAACTGGGCAAAGGGTTCAGGAGCTCATTTTGCAACTTCTTTGAGTCTGTAACTGCTGTATTTCCAAATAACAAGTGAGGAGAAAGGGGTGCTCACTGGATCTGCTCAAAACAGTGTTTCCTTGTATAAAATGACGCCTGGATAAAGTCAGCTTTCAGCAAACTGCTTTTACCACAACTGAAAACAAAACCAGGACCCTAGGAATACAGCTCAAAAACAGAGCTTGTGTTTAGCATATATGCTGGGGGAAGGGAAGTTGGTGCTCAGCACCCCTCCACAAAAGAACCAAGAACCATGGGGATCAATGGATAGCTTTCAGGGTCCAGGGACTCTCATACTGCATGTAAAATGCAGGGAGCAAGTTGTTCTAGGAAGAGGACCAAAGAGTTTTGATTCTGTTTTCAGGGCCCTGTGACCCACAAAAAAAGAACCTAAAGCAGCCACAGCACCTGTAATCCAACATTTGGGAGGCTGAGGCAGGAGAATCATTGCCAGTTCGAGGCCAGCCTGGGCTACAAAGTGAGTTCAAGGTCAGCCTGAAATACGAAGCAAGTGATCTTGCCTCAAAAAAATCAAATTAAGAAACTTTACTCACAAAACACTTATCTCAAACTGGCTGCAATGTTTACAATTACACACTTATGACTCTATGCTATTAAAAAAAAATTTTTTTTTCTATATGTTCCGAAGTGTGAATAAATGTAATTTTGGCTTTTTTTGTCCCCGCCCCCCCGACAGTCTTGCTATGTAGTTTAGGCTGCCTTGAACTCACCATGTTCCTCCTGCCTCAGACTCGGGAGTGCTGGGATTATAGAAGTGTGTCACCATACCTGACTACAAATGTATTTTAAAGTTAATATCCATTTTATTGCCGGGCCTGGTAGCTCATGCCTGTAATCCCAGCACTTGGGAGGCTGAGGCAGGAGGACTGCTGTTGAGCTCAAGACCAACCTGGGCTTCACAGTGAGTTCCAGGGCAATCTGAACTACATAGTGAGACCCTGTC